ACAACATGACATGAGCCCCGTAGACCAAGATAACATCCTTACTACAATTTAAAGATTATGAAAAAACATGGGCACATGAAGCACAAGTGTTCTTAACACATTTACAGCAAGAGACAGACATGGGGGGTTGATAATGGTTTATAAAGGGCAGCAATCTAGGTGACCATGGAAATATTCCTTGCAGGAAAGTAGCGAAATCTTTCAATTGTCCTTTCCAGGTGTACTTTCACTCGTGTTTCCTGTCAGGCTCTCCTCCCCTACCGCTTCCTGCATGTGCACAAGCATGGAATTTCTGTCTTAATCTTGCACTGGATAAAGAGCAGATTGAAGTTGAGTTCCTTGAAGCCTGATGAGATGTCTCATGGTCTTCTTCAGTTACATATCTGCTTATGGATCTCTTTAGTCTTTAGGTGTTTGTTTCAAAGACAGGTGAGACGAACCCTGTTCTCTTTTTAGTGTATCTAGCAAATAGATATTTGATTATATACATGCTTCTGGTTCGTGGTGGTTCTAACACATCTTGCATTAATCTACAGCAACTGGAGGAACAGTGGAACACTCAGATCTTAATCTATAGGCACTGCATTAGCAACACCCCTATTTTCTAAGTTTCTATAAAACTCTTAATTGATTAGTTAACTTCTTATTAAGTCTTGATTACAGGGTAAAGGCAATGCTAGGCACTGTTTTTGTTTGGAGGGCTGTCTGTGTGATATCCATTGGCATATATCTGTGTGTGTTTGTTCGTAACTGTGTGTGGGTGTGATGTCCATGTGTAAATACATCTGTGTGGGTTTATGAATGTGTATGTGGTGATTCTAGGACCACTTCCAGTGTCAAGCCTTGCATTCGCCTTCTTTGAGATAGGATCTCATGGTGTTTGCTTCTGAGTATATGTTAGCCTAGTTAGACCCGAGCCTCTAGGGACTCTCTTGTTTCTGACTCCCAGCTTACTTTAGGAGGGCTGAGATTCCAGACAACTGCTAGGAAAGCCAGCTTTGCACTGGTCTTAGAGAACTGAACTCAGGAACTTACGTCGGCACACTTCTCTTTTGGAGTACTGGGGAAAAAACTCAGGGCCTCCTAGAGCCAGGCAACTTACCTGATACTGACCAACATCCCGAACCCTCAGGCACATTTTAAGAGAAAAACTCTAAAAAGAGTAAGCAAATATAAGTACTAAATAGGCTTTATTCATATATATATTTGCTTCATATTGAAACAAATTTTAATCAGCCATTCTATTTTTTCACAAAAATAAACCCAATGTTTATTTTGCTTTGTAAGGCAACATATAATACCTTAAAAACCAATTGATTGTGGGACCACTAGTTAGCTGAGCTTTTGTTGTTAATGTTGCATTAAGGCAGCAATTCTGAATCTGTGGGTCACGGCCCCTTTGAAGGTTGAGTGATCCTTTCACAGGGGTCACATATCAGATATCCTGCATAGCAGATGTTTACATTACAAGTTAGAACATTAGCAAATTTACGGTTATGAAGTAGCGATGAAATTATTTTATGGTTGGGGGTCACCACAACATGGTCAAAGCATTAGGAAGATTGAGAAGCACTGCGTTTAGGTTTTTAAAAAGAAGTGAATTATAGAGCTATTATCATTGATTTATTACAGAAAAATATCTTTTTTCCTTAGCTAGTGTGAAATCAGTGTTCTCGCCCCATTTTTTGAGTATTTGGGCTATACAATGAGAGCTAATTTTCTGAATGATAGTCACAAGACTGTGCAGAAGTCTCACTTAACAAAGCAAGGTTTAATTATGTTCTATGCTACATTTGCCAAGAAATAAATTTCAGGGAATATTTAAAGTATTCCTGGGGAAAAAGTTGCAGTAACCTCCAGTTAGGTACATGTGCACATCTGGATAGCTCCCAATGCCCATCAGTCCCCCACAAGCACATGTGCAGGGTGGATTTACAGCCATCAGTCCACAGCACCTGTGCAGTGTGGATTTGCAGTCATCAGTCCACAGCACCTGTACAGTGTGGATTTACAGCCATCAGTCCACAGCACCTGTGCAGTGTGGATTTACAGTCATCAGTCCACAGCACCTGTGCAGTGTGGATTTACAGTCTCAGTCCACAGCCCCTGTGCAGT